CTACTTTGTAAATTCTTTTACATACTTTTTACATATTTTTACTTCATTAATAATTTTCACACATTCTTACTTCTTTGTAGCTATATATATCTATGCAAATTTTACTTCTTACATCTTGCTTGATAATGACCGAAGAGCGGTCGAAACGTCGCAAACTTTTACCGTTTATTTTTATAGTCAAATGTTTTAAAAAAACCCTTACTGATACGATAGCAACGGCTTTTAAACTCTTGTCTGGTGTAAAAGCAATTACTTACAACTCAAAAACGAGCTACTCGGTGAGCCCTATTTTTGTTATCGAATTGTTATCAACATATGATGATCCAACTTGACACAAAACTTAATAGAATTGTGGATGCGCTTGAGAGCCAACTTAAAATTTCTAAAGCTTAAAGTTTTCCCACTATTTTATTTAAACTCGGCCAAAAGTTACATTTGAACGGCGGAGCTAATCACACTGAATTCTGGAATAAAACATGAACCTCGCACGGGGCAGTCGATCAAAGCCGAAATTAAGGGTGCTTTTAACGTTTTGTACTGTTTCTATGGTAGCCTTTTCTGTCTAGAATACGGGCATATAAATAAGCCCCATAACTAGTGTAAAAATGAATAAGAATTTTATTTTATGTTATTGTTTATGGCTGTAGCCAGAAAAAAAAAATGACTGCGGCAATGCCCAGGTTAATTTTTCTTCCTAGGTATAAAAATTATAAAACAACTGATCACTGAGATTACAGTTGAGAGGGACAAACAGCCGTCCTTTGAAACAATATACAATTTCAGTTCACTCTAAAACGCCATGGTAGAAAAGAATAATTTTTACTGGAAACTGAAGAAAAAAAAGAACATCCGTATGGTTACAGTATGTCGGTCGGAAAGTGTTGGAACTGCAGAAAGTACGAAAAATAACATAAAGTTCTAGCCCGTGCTAGCTTTTGATAAACATAAATAAAGCACAAACTTGAAATAATCACTAGTGAGCCGTATATAAGTCAGTGAAAGAGAGGAAAACACATCAGTATCTTCTATAAGCAAGCTCAATTTATGCGGCGTGCGGATTTGTTGAAACACTCTTTCTCTGCACGGATCATAATGCAAGCAACTGCTTGACCGCAAGAACTGTGAAGGACCTAATGAAAGCTCGCAACACCCAGCACCCAGAAAAATGTTAGTGACAACCCAAAACCCGAGTTCGAACTAAACCTGCGGCGTTTTAATTTGTGTCCAGTGTACAAAGAAAAGTAAATGCGACTAGGATCCTATCAAAAGACGTGATAGCTTGGCTGGTTTGTTGACCCATGGATTTCAGACCATGTGATGATATTGTTGAGAATTGTAAATGATTATAACATTGTCGGTGTTTAGTCTAGCTATTATTAAACGAGATGCCTATTTCTGATGAAATTTAGCATGAAAATGATTTGCTCTGTCGTTACATTGCAGAGTGATTAGAGAAAAACAGTAAGAACCATGTCGTCATTTCCGTTTTAGCGTCAGATACCAGCTAATTGCTAGAAGAGGTCTGTTCTAACTTGGTTCTTGGACGCAAAGAGACTCGGCTACGAGGATGTGCTGGATTACATTATAATTAATGGAATTTCTTCGGTTTTACTCAATTTTCTTAAACGGCTGGGTTAGGCGAATGGCTGAGGGGGACTTAAGCACCCCCTCTACCACTCTTGGTCCAATCCCTGAACTCAACCTCGTTCCCAGGGCCATTCCCTCGGATCGGCGTTGAACTCTAGGAGAGAGGAGAAAGACTCTCCCTTCTCGAGCCTGGGTTCAACTCTTTTAAAGCGCGCGGAGAAAGGAGAGTTTAGGGACTGGATAATACTCCTCCACGTCTGTGAAATTTAAAACCCCTCATAACAATGGAAGAGTTAGCGGGTGCTTACCATTTGGCAGAATAAACCGATTGGGATGACCGTTAAACAATGTAAGGGCTTGTCCAAAATTGCAAATTGTACTAACGCCGCGTTAGTGCAATTATTATTTGCAATTGGATTTCCCGTAATTGTTTTCGGCTGACGGGAGACTGGAAACTGGAAAATTTAGCAAATGGTAAGGAAATTTCCGCCATTCCGTCCCGAACGGAAAAAGAGGACTACCTCTGGAGGCAGTCTACAATTTCAGAACGGATTTTCCAAAAAATCACTGTTCCATTTGACTTTCAACCGCAATTTTCGGATATTTTTTTTAACTAAATGGTAAGCACCCAGTGACTCCCAGGTATGCGGAACAAACAAGAAATCACGTGGTTAGGCTCTGATTGCGCCCGAGTTGTAGATTGGGGCGAGTTTCGAATGACGTCATATGGCGGCAATGGCGGCAGTGTGAGGTGGGCATATCCGGTGGAATACACCACAAGAGAAAGACTTCCATGCCTTCTTTGTGGCCCAATTCTCGGAAGTGAACGTTCAAATCGGCGTTCTATTGAATTGTCGTGGACCTTTATTTCTTAATCACGGAACTTAGACGGCATCCCCGTCGAGTGCAGTCGACCAATTCCAGGGAAAGAACAGTTTGGGTGCGGCGATTTTGAAATACCCGAGCTTGAATTTCCCAATCTTCCAAGTTATTCATTGAACAGTTTTGGAATAACAGTCGTTTGGTCGAGCATTGGATAGTTCAATTGCCTTGTAACGATAAT